AGGAATTTGTTCAGTTTGTTTTTAAACTACAGTCCGGCCCTCCAACAGGTCTGAGGGACAGTGAACTGGGGTCCCGTTTAAAAAGTTTGAGGACCCCTGGTACAGAGGTTTCCCGCTCAGCTGCTAATCAACCCACTGGCTGTCAGCCATAAAAGATGTGGAAGTCTGCTTCTGTAAAGACTGACAACCTTAGAAACCCAAAAGGTCAGTTCTACTTTGTCCTCTACTTGGGTCAATATGAGTCAGAATTGACTTGATAGCAATGGAGTTGGTTGTTATTTTGGTGCCTAAAATATGGCATCAAAACAACTGTCACAGAGTCAACTCCAACTTGTGGTAACTCTGTATTGGTTTTCTAAGGCTGTGAAATCTTCACAGAAGCGGACAGCTTCATCACTCTCCAGCAGAATGGCAGGTGGGTTAGAACTGGTGATCCAACTGCTTACCAGTTCAATGCTTACCTGACAGTGCCACTGTGCCTTCAAATATGCACAGAAACATGCAAGTTAAAAAAAAAAAAAAGGAATGCAAGTTATTTGTTGATTCAATCTGGAGCTTGAGTTCTGACCTGTCCCAGAAACAATCAATTAGAGGGGAAAAACTGGAGCAGAATTTTCACATTTCAGACATAAGGATCAACACACTTGAGAAAGGCCTATTTAAAATAACAGCACAAATACTTTTGATTAAGAATATTAAAGTGATCATCTCTATCCCCACTATGAATAAATGTCTACCATATGAAATGCCATTTGGCCTAGGTTGCTAACCTATCTAGTTTATTAGGACTGGCGAGGAATAAGTGATATTTGTTGATTATAGTATACCCTATAAACTCAAAAAGGCAAAGTTGGCCATTCTACTTTGTGGTGTACTTAGAATACAAGGAGCAAACAACCTCAGAGTTGCTGTTCTTTTATAATTAATAGAGGCAAGGGAAATTCTGCCTAACTAGATTACGGTAAACATAAGAACTAAATAAGGTTATGCTTTCTTTTATGAAGCAAAAATACAATTGTTGACATGAGGTACATTCAAAAAACATGTTCTATTCAAACTTCAGACTGACTCAACTTTCAAGATCAACTTTTCTGCTTTGAGGTTTTTTAAAAAAAACCATGTGTTTTCAGTAATGGAAGCCATTTTGAATGAAATTTTAAAAATGTTTTGAGGTAATATACATTTTGATAGAACATAACACTTTATCTTGAGGGGTCTTTGGTATTGGTAGAATGAGGCCTGCCTCTTCAGTCAATTTACAGGTTCCCACCATACCCTAGGTGGGGAAAACATAGGTGGGCCCTATCTTTCCCACAATCACAAAAGGGTTAAGCAGATACAGGCTCTTCTGATAAATTTTACAGTTCTATTCGTTTATATACCATATTAAAAGAATTATTTTTGCTATATATACTGTTAATATCGCACATACACACAAAGATATTGAACTTTACAATCAGAATGGCAAGGCATTAGTTGAGCTTACTCTAGAACTAAAAGGTCTAAAAGCTTTTGCTACATTCCTATCTACTTAGGTGGCAACAGCATGCTTTTAGTTTCTCTGGCTTCCAGATGACATTCCATACTGTTCAGATGCTTTAAACCTGAACAGTCAGGAGGGAACAAACTATGTGATCGATCTTTTTGGACAACAAGAGGCAGTTAACTTTTAGAACATTTTTCTGGATATTTAGAAATAAATCCAAGACCTCTTGTAATAAGGAAAGTAAGATTTGGGCTGGTTGGGCAACCGCAAAGCCTCTAATTCAAACCCACCAGCTACTCTGAGGGAGAAATTGAGGCTAGCTGCATCCATAAAGATTTACAGCCCTGGAAACTTTATACAAAGGTGCTACGTTGGTATTAACTTGGTAGCAATGGGTTTGGTTTCTAAGCAGGAATCATGGTTCCTTTGAAGGAAAGGAAGACATTCCTTATCTGACTACAAAAATGAACTTTTTAAAGGCTTTAACAATATACAAATGAACTAAAAACCCTTTCTTATTTTGAAACTACTATACCAAGAACCTACAACTAAAACCCAAATTTGTTGCCAACAAGTGGATTCCAACTCATATGGATCTAACAAAGGGCTAGAAGTGACAGGAGGTTTTTTGGTAAGACTGTAATCCTTATGGGAGCACTGCCTCATCTTTCTTCTAGTGGAGCAGCCACTGGTAGATCTGAACTGCTATTTGCCAGTCAGCACTTTAATCACTGCACCACCAGGGTTCCTACCTACAACCAAGACTTGGCAAAACCCAACCTTGGCTCCAGGTTAAACTCATCATCTTGTCAAGGCCAGAAAGCATTTTCTCCCAGCACCATATGCTCTGGCAAAAATGACCCCCTCTCTCCTCATACTGGCTCTATCACTCTAGAAACCTTTTAAAAATCTTCACTAGATAAGATGATCAGTCATCTGTCACAAATTCAAGCACTTAATTTAAGAGGGGGACAATCAGTAGAGCTAGCTGCTAGACTGGTGTTGAAAGCTGTAAGTTATATCAGCACAGGACAAAACTATTAAGCTTTCATCGTGTAACAATGAGAATGCTTTTATTATCCCTTTTCCCAGTGATAAATGCTTATCAGTGTTACGTAAGTCCATGGGTTCTGATCACCTGACTTATGGACAACTTGCCCTTTAATGCTATGTAAATTTGCCCTCACTTTTAAAGGATTGAACCAACTCTTACCCACTGGCATCAATGAAATTCTGTCTCACAGCAACAAATTCTTCATCACAAACACCTTCCCTTACAGTATGTGCAGTTTTAAAAATCATTGAAAAGGTTTAGGATCTTCTCTGGAACTAACCAGACCTAATTACCGATCCTGTAAGGACAGAGTGGAAATGTCCCGTAGGGTTTCATGGTAGCCAACTGTCACAGCTCTTCTGCAGAGCAGCTGTTATTAGACTGCAACTGACTTTTGGGCATCTGAGAACTCAACCACTGTGCCATCAGGGCTCCATTTTCTTGTATTAAAACAAAACCCTCAAAGTCACTGCCATTGAGTAGATGCCGACAGGGTAGCATTGTCCCTGTTGAATTTCTAAGACTAACTCTGTAAAAGAGTAAAAGCCTGGTAGTTTTTAAGTGCCGATATGGATCGCAACACAAGTATGCCCCCAGGCCTTTTGTCTTGTGCTACAGCAAGCCCAAATTAACCCGAAGCACCAGGTCCAATTTACAAATTTGACTTAAAGATACTTAGGAATGGATTTGCCACCGGGCAGCTTGCCCATATTAACACGATTTAGTTGCTGGTCAATGTAGTTTGATTAACTGGGAATATAACCCCAAACCATTGTTTGTGTACCTAACTGAACCTGCTAAAAATAGCCTTTTGCACGGCTGCAGAGCTTCATCTATCAAGGTTTCAAAACTAAAATTATCATTCACACCAAAGCTTCCAACTAGCTCATTCCGGTTTGACCCCCTGCTGAAAATTTGAATTTCCATCCAGATATCCTAAATCGGAACCTAGTTTAACCAAATGCCCAAGAGATTTTCAGTAAAGAGGGTGGGAGGAGAGAAGACAAGATCAGCATGGGGTCCAAGTGGAATGAGTTCTTTGGAAGGAAGCCCTGGGTCACACTGCTACTAAAGAGTTACATTGAAGCTAGACTCTAATACAGTACTTCCTTAAGTGTGCAATAACCTTTATGAGAAACATTTGCCAGAAGTGATTACAATTCTATCGTTTATCTGTTAAGAGGGCCAAAAGAGACTGAAAAGTATCTTAACAGCCGCCTCACACCTTCGTACAAGTTAAAAGCATTAGCAAGTTTTATTGTTACAGTACTAATTACGCCTATTTTGAAAAGGGAAAGCAAACGCCACTGGCAAAAGACTGCACATTCTTTACAATAGACAGAGCGGGAAAATACAGACGGAAATAAATACAGAGTACCCAAAGGAAGGGTCCAAAGTTTGAAAAGGGCCCTTCAAGGCAAAGTGGTACAATCCTTGGACTCTTAACTTTTAGGTTCCTGGGGTGTTACTTAGACTTGGTACACTGGCTTTAAAACATAGGGCATATTTTCCCAGTCTTATGGGAGGCACGTCAGGTTTTCGCAGAAAATAAACGACACTTTGCCGCTGTGCTCGGGAGCTAGTCTCTCCTTGCTGCGTAAGCCAGCGGTCCTCCGGGACTCAAAGTTGATTCTGATTCCCACAGCCAGGATTTGCCACCTTACGTAAGTACTTTACGAGGAGAATGGCAGATAAGAAACTAGGGCGTTGACCCTCCACCTCCTCCAACAGCCGTCACACCCCAAAAGGAGCGTCCCTAAGGGGGTTTTCCCCCCCCCAGGAGCCGCAGTTGGTATGCTGCTTGGGGGAGGGGACGCGTTTTCCAAGTCATCTCTTCCTCTTCGGGCAGCCAGCGCCGACCGCACCACAGTCTCCTCCGCCCAGCCCTGTGCCCTTCCCCGCCCCAGCTGGGTCGGAGCCAAACCCCACAGGAATGCAGCCCGGTCACATGCGCTGCGGCGGCGGAGGACGTGCTTCTCCCCCCGCACCCCAAGGAGACCCAGCGCCATCTTGCCCTGACGCAGTTAACAAATGTCAAGGGAGAGATTTTGTCTCCACGTCCGCGCCAGCGCCCCAAAGTTTCGCAGAGGCCGAGCCGGGGCCCTCACCTCGCGCAGGGACAGGAGAAAATGGTCAGGGAAGAGCCTTGAGATTCCCTTCGTCACTGCTTGGATTCCATTTCGGCCGCAGCAGCAACGATCACCAACGCCACTTCTCCCCTTTCTGCCTTTGCAACAGCCTCCCCCGACCGTCTTGGCCCCACCCGCTGCTGCAGCATGAGGTCATCGCTAGCCAATCACGACACGCCGGACAGAACACATCCGGCCACGATTGGCTACAGAGACCGCCTCCGCCTCTCCCCACTGGGCTCGCCGAGCGCTCCGGGTCGCCGTGGGGCAAGGACTAGACAGAAACCGCCATTTCGGGGAAAGACCCCGAAAAGAAGAACCGGAGTCACCGTGTCATTTGAGTGGGGAAACCCGTTTTATTCTTTGCCCTCCCTTTCTTCTTCCCAGATAACCCTGTCTCTGTTCCTCCCTAGTTTAATCACCGCCACATAAAGGAACCCCCGTTCCCTCCCCGCACACTGTCCCGCCGGCAGGGAAATCCTTCCCCAGGGCCAAGAGGAGGCGGCGGCAGCGACGGCAACTGCACCGACAGCAACGGCAGCTTTTACCCCGATACACGGTGGCAGGGAGGCGGCGCTGACGGTGGCTGTGTTTTTCCTGCAGTTTCTCCCCCCATCCTCCTCCGTTTCTCGCTCCTCCATCGAGACGGCACTGGACTCGCCTGCTCCGCTTTTATCTGGTGCTCGGAGCCTGCGCACTGGAGCCGCCTCAACTCCCAGTGGGCGTCGAGTGACACCCCAACCGGGTTCACCCTGCGCTGGAGGGCAGACTCAGGGAGGAGGGGAGACTGGGAGTGAGGTGGTTTGGGGAGTGGGAGGGAGAGCCCGGTGATCGGAGGGGGTCACTCCCCGGCCCACTGTCGTTATCCTTCCACCCAGCAATAGCATGCCCAAGCTCACCTACATCCAGACTTGAGGGCTACTCAGGGAAAAGGGGGTCAAGTGCGAACCCCAACAGATACCGAGACTCCCCCACATCTGCGGTCAGTTGTTGAGTGCATCGATTGCAAAAGACGGAGTCTCCACCTCACGGCTTCCTATTTCCTATTTTCGAGCCTCTCTGGAGCGCAACAGTGGGCAGCCGCCCACAAGCAAAATGGCGGCGGG